TCGCCTCCAGCGCAGTAAATAAACTACACTGATATACAGGTACTTAAATAGAACTAGTCTACGTTTAAATGTTAAGCGGGTAAATAACCGCTGTAACGAGTAAAAAAGTAACTTTTAGCATTCACTGGACAAAGCTACAGCACTGTACACAGGAGCAGTCAGTAACCGAAAATGACACAGTACGCTTACCATTGCACATCAGCACAAACTTATGTAGAGAGAATTCCACAGTTTTGGTCCCGAAATGCAGAATGAAGTGCTTTAGTACTGAATAATAGGCTAAACTGAACAATAAATAGTAAAAAATAAGTATAGAAATGGGTATAATGTTTAGGAGAAAGTCCTATAACATAATAACTACCTCATTCGATACAGAAATTACAGTGTTCTGTTCAACATCCCATCCCAGACACAGTCAAGCTCACGTAATAATTAAAAGGAAAAAAACAATCAGATAACAAAATGTTTAAATGTTCCAAAAATTAGCACTTAAAAGGAGTGCACATCCATGTTAGACTTGAAAATGCTCAGCCCTCGTTTCCACACCCACATCGTTTCTATTATAAGATTAGATTAGATTAGATTAGATAGATACTTTATTCATCCCCAAGGGGAAATTGACAGTTTCCAGCAGTATCCACAGAATGATAATAATAACAATAACAATAATAACAATAATAACTATGAATATCAAACTGTGCTTGGGGAAAGACTTTCATGTTTCAAGTGAAATTTTATTTGTCACCATACAGCAGCTACGGATGTTTTGCTGCTGACAGTCATTCTATTAGTTAGTGAGTTAGGTTCAATATAAACATGCTGTTACTGTGTGTACAGTGTGAAAGCTTACCCTGGGGGGCAGCTGTAATTTAATTAGGGAAACAAGGTTAAGAGCAGCTGTCTGTCTCTTGGTCATAGTCAGACATTGAGAGTGGTTGCGTGACAAAGTGGCTGATTGATTTAAAGAAAGAAAATGTACCTTTTAAGATACTGGGTTGTACTGGGTCTTTAGTTACGTATTTAATAAACAAAGGAAACAAAACTAATAATTAGAATTCACTCAAAGACCTAACATTTTGAGTCAGGGGAATTTAATTTGTTAAGCACTTTTACTGCTGTCAGCGAACCGACTGAAAACAGATAAAACTGCAGAATCTGCAGGATCACTGTTTTATCTAAATCTTGAATGATCTGAAACTTTACAAAAT